ATATATAGTTGGTGGTTCCAACAGAGATGGTCTTTTATCTATCTACTACTTAATCCGTTCTAAATTGTAGGTCATTTTGGCTTTTCTAGATACATCGTATTTCCTATGTATCTAGACATGGCGTATATCTAGGTGCATAGTAAGATGAATGTATCTAAAATAGCCAAAACGGCCTACGATTTGAAACGGAGGGAGTACTTCAGATCATAGGAAAGCCCCTGCATGAAAATGGAAGCTAAGGCCGCTACTTTTATGGGCAGCAGCTGGAATAGTAGGGCAGTGGATAAGTGAACGCGAACGTCCTCGTTCAACTGTGGAATCGGGAAGCACGCGGTAGGTCCTTGTACTGTTTAACGAGCCGCCACCGCTTCTTCTCCCAACAGATAATAACAATAATAATAATTAATGTTATGAACCAGGAAGAATTTGGGAAATTTGGAGAAGGGCGGAAGGGAAATCTCAGGGAAGAAGAAGAACAGGGGTATAGTGGGGAGAGACGAACTCTGTTCTGTATTCAACTAGCAGGGGTATACCAGGCAGTCGGCACACGCTAGCTAGCTAGCAGTGCTTCCAAGCATCGGTAGCCCAAGCGCTTCCAACAATACAAGCTCGCTTTCTCCCCTCATATGGCTCCTGCCACCCCAGGCAATGTGTAATTCCAGTGGGGTCTTTCCTTTTTTCTTATTTTTTTAGGTCTTTGCAACTTTTCTAGGAAGCTCCTGCGTTTTTTATGAGTTGGTTTCCTGTTGTTTTGTTTCAACCCCCCCTCTAATCTTTGTTTTTTCTTAGTGGTTTGGAGTCGGTAGAGGTGTTTTTAGCAAGTTGCAGGAGCTTCCCTCCCTGTCCTGTTTTCTTGTTTCTCTCCTCCTAATCATATTTTCACGGCAAAACTCTTGTCGCCTTTTCCAAAAAAAAAAATAAAGTATCAGTAGCACATCCTAGCACGAACGGCCTCCTCCACCTTCTCCTTTGTACACAAAAGCACGTGGGTGCCGGTCAAGTGTCCGGTTAGGATGCTGGGAGTGTTTTGAAGGCATTGTATATGCTCTTGAAAATCAATAAACCTTTCTTTATCCAAAAAAACATAGGAGCAATAATCCATGACTCTGGAAACCAGAGACAGCTAGCAGGGCTGAATATATTCAGAAGCACACCCTACAGCTTACTTGTGGTTGTGGAAGGTCCTCTTACTATACATAGATGGAGCTTCGATGAATTATTCTTGTGCCCAACCGGTTTGCTTGTGACGACATTTATGTCAGTTTGGTCTTACTTGGTGCATGCGCAATCAATTCCATGATTGGTGCTAGCCCGTCGGATCTGACGTCCCGCCGGCGGCTGGCGCCTGATCTCGGGCCTCATCACCAGCTGGCGCCGAGAACCCCGCCCCCCAGCCAACACCGACGCACGCGGCTTCCACCGGCGCAGGGGTGGCTCACACTGACGGCTCGGCCGCCTCCTCCCATGGAGCTCGCGCCAACGTCTCCGAGGGATGAGGACGCCGCCACGGACGCCACCACGGCCGCACCGCTGACGACCGAGGGGGCCAGCTCTGGCGCTTCGTCCCCTCCACCGCTGGGGCTGGATGACAGCAACGCCACGGCCATGCCCGGGCCTTGGGGTCAAGGCACGGCGTCGCTGGACGCCCCAAGCTCCTCCCTCTCACCGGCCATGGCACCGTTCTTCCGCGGATGCTCCTCGGGTGGGCGTTCGAAGAGCCGCCGGTGGCCGCTCGTCACCCGGCCAAGCTAGCCTCATCGTCCCCCGTGCGCCCCCAGCCTCATTCTGCAATAGTTTTGGGGCGCGACGGAGCGGACGTTGGATAGGGCCCTTTGCAAGGCCGTGCTGGTGCTGAACTAGGCCGACAGGGACATGGTTGTAGGCGGAGGAAGCGCAACCGGCCACGCCCGCAGCTGGTGAACGTCTTGCCTATTCGGCCAGTGGATGGCCTTGACCCTACCCGCCAACGCCTTGGCCGTCGTGGACGGGTCTCCACCCCCAACACCGATGGGTGGCGTGAGATCCTCCCCCGGCAGGTGACAGGATCTGCTGCTGCCTCGACCCAGCCAAAAGCAGCTTTCGCAGGTCAAGAAGATCCTGGCAGAGCTTCACGATAGATGCTTTGATTGCCTCTCCTACTCATATCGAGTAGCGACTTCTCAGTTGCCATGGCGTTGTCTGCACTATCGTGGATTCGGACACCTCCCCAAGGACTGCGGGCGAAGGACTGCTTCGACCTCGGTGGCGGTGGGTGCCAACTTGCCACGCTACTCTGCTCGCGACGACCCCCCGGCCTCCCAGCACATGCCGCGCGGCGGTGCGGAGGGTGCCGCATCGGGGGCAGTGGAGGGCTCCGGGGGGAGACGACGACGACGTCGGCGACGCAAGACTAAGCCGAAGGACATTGGCACGGGTGAGCCTGCCGACCACGCTGACAAGGCACCTACTTCTACTGATGCACTATGCTTCCCCGAGCCAGATCCGCTGGCGCTGGCGCTATGCGTGAGTGCGGGGCCTCCCGCATTGGTCGTCTCTTTCGACCCGATGCCAGAGGAGCTCGCCGCCTCACTGCCTCTCTGGGGATTGAGGAAACGTCTCCAACGCCGGCTGCTCCCTCGCCTCAGTTACCACTGGTGCAGGAGCTGCCACAGCTCACGCCTACTCGGCTGGGACTCGACGTCGAGGATGACGACGCGACGCCCGCGCCACATGAGGCCGCTCGGCGTCTCGCAAGGTTTACCGAGTTGGTGCAGTGCAAGAGAAAGTCGCGATTGATCGCATGTCCTCCAAGGCAGTAGGCGGTAACAAAGCGCCCCCTGTCAATCAGGAGCAAGCGGATTGCCATTCAGCCGTTGTCGCATGTACCCACCTCCAAGCGGTGCGAGGTACTACTCATGCTGAGGATGGGCATCGCGCCGCCGCCGGCACCAGTTTCTTCCGTGTCCAAGGGAGCATACGGTGCCATTTTCGCTGGGAACTTGACGTCGAGCCAAGTTGAAGCCCTGAACGAGTTATTTCCAGTGGCCAACACCAAAGCAGGTAGGAAGCTCTTCTCAGACGCCGGAGTAGGACAGCGCAGCCAGCAGCGGAGGCGCCCGGCTTCGTAGGTTGCAGCGCTACCCTTAGCTCGGTAATAGACCTTTTATGTAATATCGAAGCTTCGAATGGTTTGCTAGGATGGTCCAGTCTACTGCTGTAAGACCTCCGAGGGCGCTCCTCTGAAGCGCGTCGTTTGTATGATTAAACTCTTTTTTTAATTACAATGATACGGAAATCTTTTGCGTATTCGAGAAAAAAAAATTACAGAGATCCTTTTAGTTATGCATGTGTCTATCTCGGTGCTACTGGTATCATACCTGATGTCTCTGCCTCTGAAAAACCTCCACTAATAAGGGGAGACACCAAATTAAGCAGCAAAGTTTGGATGGAGCTCGGTGTGTTCGTTAAACACAGTGGGTTTCTCGATCTAAGCATGGTTTTCACTACAGTACGTGGTTAACCTACTCTGGAGCACATAATGATGAGGCTACAGGCATATATGTACTTTCACATCACTACTAGAGAAACGGGTTTTAGTCCCGGTTTTCCCAACCGGGACTAAATTCCACCTTTAGTCCCGGGTCTGGGAACCGGGACTAAAGGTCACCCACGGAAGAAAAAAATAAAGGAAATCCTCGAGGCCTCGCTTGCTCTACGTGAGATTCGAACCCAACACCTCTCTCCGCGCGCGTAGGTACATTACCAACTCAACTGCACACCACTTGTGACAGAGTCATGTGCGCTCTCCTTTTGAATAGACTCGTGGAAGACCTTTAGTCCTGGGTAAAAGACCTTTAGTCCCAGTTGAAGACACCAACCGAGACTAAAAAGTCACCCTTTAGTCCCGGTTGGTGTTACCAACCGGGACTAAAAATTGATGAACTTTTACTCCGGGTTGGTGACACCAACCAGGACTAAAGATGACTTTTAGTCCCAGTTGGTATTACGAACCGGAACTAAAAGTCCTTTAGTCCCGAATGCAAAAAATATCGAAACTAAAGGCTAAAATCGAAGTGGGTGAAAGATCTGTTTTTCTAGTAGTGCATGCATATATACTGGTGGGATGATATATATATATATATATATATATATATATATATATATTGTGGTATAGAGCCATTATTACTAGTCTAGTCACCTTCATCACATTGAGAGCATAATAATTAGCATGACAGCCATGTTGCATGTTCAGATCAAGTCCTCTCTTTGGCCTTAAGGCCACGGTCTTATACTTAGTACATTTCTCCTTCTATCTTAATTGAAATGCAGAACTCATGCCATTTATGTTAAAAAAATGTTCCGATCAAGCGCCGTCCAAAATTGGAAAGACAGGGATAAGGATTTACTCGACTGTTCATACATTTGCGGATTTTCTATATTTTATTTAAGATTGTAAGCCCGTGCTCATGAGCTAGTTGGCTATAAATTCAAATCTCGTATGCAGCATATATACCAGCTAGTTTGCAGATTCCATGGCCAACAGACGAATATATAGTACTCTGTCACAATCAACACATGAGCTCGATCCAGAATCAGAAGATTAAGATGGACCCAGCATTTTACTGCAGCAAACAGCATCTTTCAGACACATATCTACCGGCATGGCCAGGAGCAGGAGATTACAGTCGGTCTTGATCAGAAGAAGGCGTCAACGGATAAAATAAAATAAAATATGAGGTCATCAAGAGCTAATAACTGGCTTGCACTGTGGGATAAGGCACAAGCAAATTAAAAACCGCAGACATGCATAAACAACCACACGCGACAACACATAATTAAATAAGAGTTTCTGATTCCTCTTTTTTTTTTTCTTTCTTTCCATTCAACAATGGCCACGGACCCATGGTAGTGTCACTGTCCATGGCCCATGGCCATCGCCGTTGGGGGTCCTCCTCGCAGCACCGCTGGTGGTGGTGGTGGTAGTGCGGCAGCCGCCCGTCGCCACCTCATTATTACCGCCCCTAGATGCTGTACACCGGCACGCCGTAGTACGAGGACGGCGTCTCGTAGCCATGGCCGGAGACGGAGCTGGCCGGCGCGGGCCAGACGGACGGCACGGCCACGACGACCTGCGCTGTTGGCGGCTGCGTGGTCTGCTTGTCGCAGCTGCAGCCGCAGCAGCAGGTGCAGGGGGCCAGCTGGGTCCTGGCCTTGGGGCGCTCCAACATCTTCTCCAGCAGCGGGCGGAGGTTGACCGCGGGCGCCGCAGCCGTCTTTCGTCCGTCCTCCTCCTTTTCCATGCGTCCGTCCTTCTTCTCCTCGGGCGCTTTGACGTCCATACCCTTGATGATCCGGCCAGCCTCGCAGCAGAGCTTCCGACGGACCTTCTCGGCGTCGAACGGGCCAGAGATGGTCACGAGATTCCTCTTTTCATCAAACGAGATAGCATTGATGTTCATCTTGTCTGCGCAACCCAGTCAATCACAATCAACAATGATCATCAGCACAGATGGAACTGCTAAACAGTTGTAAAAGCGACGGACAGGTAATCAAGCCCAACAAGTGGGGAGGTGATTGGTGCTCATGCAGCCATGTGATGGCAGATTGGCATTATCAGACTGCAGATAGAGGCGTTTGCATTGGGGAATGACTGAATATATGGTGGCGAGGGTTATCCTACAATACTGTACCTTTGATCTTGTGGAGGACCCTTCTGATCTTCTTGTTGCATCTCTCGCATTCAAGGTCAACCTTGACGACCATGGTGATCTGCGATGCGATACAAGGATTAAATAGATGGTTGTAAACGCAGTGCTATTGGAAGTAAGCTAGGCCATGGGGGAAGTGATGTTTTACGATAGTTCTTGTTAAGGTCGATACAACACATAGACCTTAAATCTAGCAGTTAGTTCCAACCATTAGAGACGGACGGTCTAATACATGTTCTAAAGGGGCATGTATTCTCAAATCAGGAGACGAAGACCAGTTTTGTTGGCCTCTCAACTCTGTTTTGAACTATTGGCCGTGGTAAAAGCCGACTCTGCTGCTCCCAACAAGAGAAAGGAAGTGATAACAAAAGAAGAAGAAGAAGAAGAAATCCCTAGGGCTGCAGGTGTTCCTTATCTTACGGCGGTGGTAGTAACAGGACCGAACACTTCTTTTCTTCCGAGCAGAGAGAAATCAACAAGACCCATCACGCAAGCAAATTAAAACTGCAACACTAACAGCAAGGACAGGACACAAAACGAGCAAGCGTCAGGATGCTTATCATTGGGTGGTGGGTGCTCTCCTCTTGCCTCCTTGTCCGCCATGCGGATCGGATACGCCCGAAGCTCCGTCACCTTGCCTGTGGTGGCTGCCGAGAGAGAGGAGGAGGAGGAGGAGGAGAAGAAGAAGAAAGAAGAAGGAGGTGCGGCGGCGTCTTCAAACCAAGCTGAGGTCGCGCACGCAGAGGCGATTCGTCTTGTGGCACCACCAATCGACGACGCGTGGGCCACCCCAGGCCTTGTCGGCCGCTTTTGTCCTTACTTTTGGCCTGATTTCAGATTTCTCCGATCCCGACAAAATGCTGAGGAGAAATGACATGCATACAACTGACAAGGTAGAAAAGCAAAGCAGAGAAAAGTCTCGAGCACAAGTATGGCCTTGTTTAGATACTCTCAAAATTTCAAGTTTTTTCACTCTCTCTCCATCACATCAATTTTTAGCCATTTGCATGGAGTATTAAATATAGGTAAAAAAAAAAAACTAACTATACAGTTTAGTTGGAAATCACGAGATGAATCTTTTGAGTTTAGTTGATCCACGATTGGACAATATTTATCAAATAAGATGAATGTGCTACTATTTATTAGGTTGAAATTTTTTTCAATCTAAACCAGGCCTATACTTCATTGGCTTCTCGATCGAGTTTTGTGCGTGACAGCTTGCTTGCTTGATTGTCACCAGCAAGCAACAAGCAGAGAGATTGATAGGCCTTATCTCATTTTGTACTGGAGTTGGTTGAGTTGTGCGCCTTGCTGCTCTCACCCTACTACTACTATGCGCCTGTTGGTAGCAGGCTAGGGGTCACCACGGATTAGGCCAACAACCAGCCTGTAGCCTTTTGGCATTTGCCAATGCGGTACCGCCTTTTGTTTTCAATCATTGGCCTAGCAATCTGGAACGACGCAGGGACAAAGCGCATTATCTGCTTCGGCCTTGCTTAGATTGCAAGTTTTTTCACTCTCTTTATCATATTAAATCTTTGGACACATATATGAAGTATTAAATATAGATAAAAAAATGACTAATTACATAGTTTAATTGTAAATTACGAGATGAATCTTTTGAGCCTAGTTAGACCATGATTGGACAATAATTGTCAAATACAAACGAAAAATGCTACAGTGCCAAATACTGAGGCCTTCCTTCCAAACTGCAAGTGCTGCTGCACAACTCATTCGCCATTTGATCGTCGCGTACTGGTCCTGGCCCAAAATAAAATGCTGCAACAGAACCATGCCATGGCGTGTAGCTTGCGTTGCCCTGGCATGAAAGAATCTTAGGCCTCTGTGGATCCAACTAAAGTTTAGCCCCTGGCTATATATCCAAATAAACATTAGCTGCCCACTTTTTAACCATGTGGTGTTGTACCCAGTGACTCAAAATTAGTCAAGCAAGATGAAAAACACCACCCTAAATGCATATATAAATACCTATGTGTCATTATAAAAAAAACCCCAATTTGTATCTAAATTACCACCGTGTCACTATGAAAAAAACTACAACTTACTTCTATATCTTACTATTACTAATTAGAGGCTCCAATAGAGCCTTCACGTTAATTCTAACCTGACGCGCTAGGAAAAAAGATAAATGCTATAAATTCTCATATTAATCAGAAATATCTAGCCATTAAATCTATAGGCTCTCACAATCTGTAATCATTACAACTATTTTATTTTCAAGAAAATTACCCACCTCTGTCATTATTATAGATAAAAAGGAAAAAAAATCCATTTGTATTACTAATTGGAGGCCCCAACGGAGCCTCCACGTTAACTCCCACCAGATGCGCTAGGAAAAATGATAAATGCTATAAATTTATTCTCACATTAATCAGAAACATCTGGCTATTAAATCTATAGGCTCTCACGATCTGTAACCATTAGATCTATTTTATTTTCATGAAAATTACCCACCTCTGGCATTGTTAAAGATAAAAAAGAGCTTGCATGCATGCTCTGCTTAACTTGGCCAGAAGATACGGCAACGCTGGAAAATCAGAGTAAGAACATGAGGAGGCCATGCATGATTCTGGCCGGAACTGCAGGGATGAGTACCTCACCAAGCTGCTGCATGCCCGGTTATTTGGCATGCACCAAAAGGCCAGCAGCCATGTAATTTTCTTTATCTTCGTACTTTCGTTCGTAGCGATCACCCGGGCTTGCATTTGGTTCAAGCAGCATACTGAAACAACTTTACAATAGGCGACTATGAATGCTTCCAATGGATTGAGCCAGCTTGATCGATCCCGATATTAACGAAATCACTATATGTAGTTGCACGATGAGCACGTCGCCTATCGCTGAAAGAATATTTGCCGAGCACCCGTAACCTGTCCACAAGTAGCCTAAATATAATTCACAATTTTCTTTTTTGTATAGATTATCCTATAGCACGATGCCGATCTCCAAGTGCTCCACACCAATTTTAAGGATCAACATATTGGTTAGGGCTAGACGCAAAACTCGAAGCTTGTGAGCTGGCTCGGCTCGTGTCCTGCTCGACTCAGCTCGGGTCGTTCAAGAAACCTTACGAGCCAAGCTCAGCCCGCAGCTCATTAAGAATTTCGTGCTAGCTCGAGCTGGCTCGTGAGCTCAACGAGCCAGCCTCGAGAAAGCAGCCCAGCTGGAGATGGCCCAACACTCCAGAGTCTCCAAAAGCTCGAGACAGCCCAACCTTATGCATTCGGCTAGGGTTTGGAGGACACTCCCTAGTCCCCATTCTCCACTCTGTTGCACGCGCTCTTGGCCTCTCCCATGCCCGCAGACGAACATGCCGCCACCAATATAATGGACAGCCGCCTCGCCGCTAGCCCGCCACCCGCTCGGCCACCTCACCTGCAAGCAATAGCCACGTCGCCTCCTGTTCTCTGCTATTGAGTTCGTTTCTCGCCCTTGCGCATCGGCGTCGCACCCTCGGCCCTCTCCCTCATCGACCACTCGACACTCGCTGCCTCACTCAAGCGTCGACCCTCGCCCGTGGATTTGAACCCAACACCCAGCAAGACGGCAACACCCACGGCACCAGCCAAGTCCCGTCGTGCTCGATCAGCTTCAGCTTATTTGCCTATTTGCCTTGCTGCTGCCTTACTTTAACTGCAATTCTATAAGCTTGTTCATTTATTGATTCTCTAGTTGCGTTGCTTGGTTGTTGCACTACTGGACGCAGGGTCTTTGCCGAGGGCCTGAAGCCCTCGGCAAAGGCTCTTCAGCCGTCGGCGAAGGATTTGCCGAGGGCAGCCCTCGGTGAAGAACCCTCGGGAAAAAAAACGTCGGCGAAGGACTCTTTGCCGAGGGCCTTTTATCGGGCACTCGGCATAGTATTTGCCGAGGGCTAACGGCGGCCCTCGGCAAAGTAAAGTAGTCGTTAGGTTCGCGGTTATTTTCCACGGTGTCTTTGCCGAGGGCTGACATACAGGCCCTCGGCAAAGACCTGTTTTTAATTTTTCACAGGATTTTTTCTTTGCCGAGGGCTATGGTGAAGGCCCTCGGCAAAGACCTGTTTTTAATTTTTCCTGGGATTTTCTTTGCCGAGGGCTATGGTGAAGGCCCTCGGCAAAGACCTGTTTTTAATTTTTCCTGGGATTTTCTTTGCCGAGGGCTATGGTGAAGGCCCTCGGCAAAGACCAGTGAAAATTTTCAACATTCCACCTGTTTCTTGCTTTCCATGCAGACAAAAAAAATAAATATATATATATATATATTCAACAGCAGAAATATCCCACAAATATCACAATCATCACATATATCTCACAAATATCACATATATCTCACAGATATCACATAGATCATCACATGTATCATCACAAGTCCAAATTCAACAATTCCATAAGTCCACAATCTAACTCAAGTGTCAAGTCCACAAGTTCAAATCCGACTGAGGCTGGCCAACCTCTCCAACCGTCTGGCCTCTGCGTCACCAACCTTCCCAACAGTCTGGCCTCTGCGTCGAGGGTGGTGTAACGAAGCCTCCAGAATCAGGTGACGCACGAGGGGGGTTATTAGAACCCGCCGACTGAGGCTGCACAAACAATTATATGCTTATGTGAGATTGCAGTAATTATTCTAGGACTACAGTTTTAGTATTTAGACAGAAACCTATCAAATTTTTTATAGCTAGTGTTGTCTGGGTTTTATGTCATACATACAAGCAAATCAAGTAGCTAGTGTTCTCTCGGGTTTCTATGTCACACTGGTTTAGAAGTGAACTTTAACGCTTACACGGGAGTAGCTGCAAGCGCCAAGCGGCGGCCGAGGCGGAGGAGCTGACATCTGCACAGCACACACCGTCTTTCGCTTAAGAGCTTGCATGATTTGCATCATTTACGCAATCGACCTCCTGGGCCTCCCGAGCGCGGCTGCTCGACCTCGGTCGGCGGTGAGGGCCGTGATCTGCGCCGTCTTCTCGTTGTTACGGGCCCGCAATATTGCACTCCAATATTTCGATAATGCAAAACTAACTCAAGTGTGAGAATATTAATTTACGACGAGTAAAAC